GTACTTCTTCAAGTTGTTAGCAATAAATTCTCAGGGGTGCCTTCTCCTGGTCAGGGATGCAGCTCGAGAATAACATCTTCTTTCGGGAATTTATGGACTATACCTCCAAGCCCGGACAGTGAGCACCAGGTACCCGAAACTAGAGTCCTTGAGAGTCTGCTGGCTGGGCTCAGGAGCGAGTCCCAAGGTAGAGCGGAGCTTATGAGTTCAATAACCGATCGGCGAGCACCCATCTACAATATTTCTGATCGAAACCAGCAAGACAGCGAGTGGTGGCTAGAGCGTTGGACTCCTAACTAACAAAGCCGTGGGTTCGAACCTCGGGGGCTGGGTATGGCTGGCTGATGGTGGCTAATAAAGCGGAAATGGTCATTCCAGTCTCTCTTGTCTTTGTCTGTAAGGTATTTATCCTAGCAGTCCACTGGTTAACGCGATTTGCCGCTGAGCCAATGATTTATTGCCAACCGGCCTGCAGTGTCCACCAATTTGATCCAATTTCAGGACACGACGCTAAGGGCTCTGTTTCGCTCCAGAGCATCGGTCTGAAACCCGCGCAGAAAGTGGCATTGCCATCTGTGGTCAAAGCGTGATGCCGACGAAGAAATGAGGCATTGACAGTACCTTCCATCGTCAGTTAGCCCTGCTTCAGCCGCCGACAGTGATGATCTGAGTTGTTAATGCACACCTAATTGATAATGAACTTGAACGCCCTGTCTCCCCCCACCCGACCTAAAACAAACAAGACAGCGAGGTCGTGGCTCAATGGTTAGGGCGTTTGAATCTGATCAAAGAGGTCGTGAATTCGAAGCTCGGATGGGACACCACTTGGGTCTGGGTATGGCTGGCTGGATTCCCAGAAAAAGAATGAACGATTTGCTGATATAAGCGAACAGGTGAGTTCCAGGAAGCAGTTTTGAAAGAGAAGAAGCAACTGCTTGTTCCAGCGGTCGCATTTTCTTCTTCTTCTTCTTCTTCTTCTTCTTCTTCTTCTTTCTCCTCCTTCTCCGAATGAACGCTTTACAATCAAACACAAGGGCAAAAATGCCTCGCCCTAAAAAACACAAGAAGAAATGCAACATCCCCTCTTGCTCATAACACATTCTAGTTAGTTTATAGCCGGCCACATTGCGCTTCGTTTCCATAAGCATTTTTTTTAGTAAAGACGACGGTGCTGAAATAAAAATGTCGCACTTATCCAGCCAGCTATATCATAATCGGAATTTGATTGGTTGCGTGGTACTTGTCCCGATCCAGCTTGTCACCGAGGGCTGTATCCGCTCTTTGGCAGCTGTGATCGTTGATATCAAGTCTTGTGGGAGGAACTACGGTAAGGATTACTTATATAGCCGCCTAACAGAACACTGAAACTGGAATCGCCTAAAACACATGTGGTTTTCCGTGGAAATTAGGTTTCCGATTAAGATGAGGGTTAGGGTTACGGGTAGGATTAGATTTAAGGCTGGAAGTAGAGTCAGGATTCTGTTAAGAGTTCAGATTTGGGTTCATGATAACTATAGGGCTTCGATTTAGGATAATGCTAGGGTTAGGTTTAATACACGGAAATATTTATCCTTCTTCAAATTTATCTTAGTGCAAAATATTTAAAGTGGACGGGGCGTCCCTTTCTTCGTGTCCTGTTAAGGCGGCCTGAGTGAATTAACTGACAGAATAGGGTGATCGATGAGGAAACGGAACGTCAGTTTTCCGCTCCGCAAACAGGTAGGCAAACGATGACTTAAATCAAAAGTTATATTAAGACAGCCTTCTTATTAATATCTTGTCTTGAACATTACTGCTTATGAACTTACCTGTAACAATCCGTAGTGCGATCTTGAGTCGGACAATGATTACTTTGTAATGGCACAATAAATCTCCAGGAAGACTCGCAAGCTCGCGTTCAGAATTCAGCCCTACGAAACCACGGGGGTTCTACCATGGGCGTTATTGCGTCCTGACTGACCTATAGGAATCGCGCGGACGCCTCCGAACTGTCCCCATGACCGGTAGGGGCTCGCGTCCCGTGTCGGTGGCGGAGACCACAGGGCCG